GGGGGGGACTTTGCACACACCAAGCAAAGCAAACTTTTACCAAAATGCAGCATTTCAAGGAGAATCCAGAAGACATTTGAAAGGAATAACCCATACCCTAACGTTCTTCCCTCTGCAATTTCTTCGGAAGGGAAGTGGAGCTGCTCAAAGGGACAGATCCAATAAAGAACACAATTTAAGAAAATCTCTCACACCAGACCTGCACTTTTCTGCTTGACTAAGTTAAGCTTCTCTCCATGGAAGAACAGAAACAGCTGGCATTAAAATAAATGGAAGATAAATTACTACGTGCTTTCACAGCCCTCGAGTGTGCAGTAATCGTCTCTGAACGTATTTCTTTATCCGTTTGGGGGAATCATCGTTAGCACATCGCCAAATCTCGCTTTTCCAGTTTTGGATTGGCTAAATTTCCTTAAACACACTCCAATGTAAAACATGCCTTTTGAAAGCAGCTGCTTCAGGGAAGTGCTCACCATTAACTGGGTCAGGAACAAGGAATTTGGGGAGAAACAATTAAAACGAGGGGAGGGAACCCATTCTAAATGGAGCGCATAGCAGAGCTCACTTACCTTTTTTCATACATATATACATATATAGCCAGCAAAAGACTGCCTTCCTCCCAGCACAGCAGCAGCCACATGCAGAGTTCCAACTAGAACACGATGTAGCCAATCAGGAACAAGCTGTCATGGAAGGATGCATGCTGGGAATAGAAGTCCACAACTCGAAAATAGGCAGAAGGTGGTGTCTGTTTGTCTTTTTTAGATACCACCGCGAAGATTCTGGTTTAACTGGATACACGCTAAACACCCTTACGTGGGAATCAGCTACATACAAATCGACGTCAGTGACATTAATAAGAAATGTGTCTGGGATCGGTGGTTAAAGAGTCAGCACCTGGCTGTGGTTCAGTAACATAGCAAAAAAGCACAAATTTGTAAAAGTTTGCGTTGATATTAAATGGAATGGTAAAAATGAAAGCAAACTTGCTGCCTGGTAGGTGCTTCAAGTCAATATCATGAAACATTTCTCCCAAATCCCTTTAAATAAATATTTTCTGCCCTAAGAAGTGAAAGCCTACTCTAGGCTGAGAGAATGGCTTTCAACCCTGAAAAGTTTTAAACAAAAAATCTATACTGAAGATACAACATTCTACATCCATACTGAAAGTAAAAACATTCTGAACGTTGTCTGCAGAATTGGAAAGAAAGAACCAATGCTTAGCTGGTTGGCTAGGATGAGAATATGATGGGGATTTTGTTAAACACATAAAACAGTGATACTTAGTGGTTTGGAAATAACACATGGCTCATTAACATGCCACCTGTGGTTCTGAGCTAGAGATGTTAAGATTTGGGGGGGGGGGGGATTGCCCTGTTGTTGTTGTTTTTTTCTCAAAGTCCTTTTTCAATTTTTCCAAAAGAAAAATGGGAAATTTGGGGGTCTACTGAAAGAGACTCCTATGAAATATTTTCTATTTTTGAATGGGTGAAATGCTTTTAAAGACAAGGTGGACATGCTGTAGACATAGGAGCTTTTAAATCCAATAGGTATTTCTGTACCTAAAAGGATACCTAATCTTCGTGAGATGAGGAGCAGGGCTCTCATTGCTTTTTAGCGGTTACATACCTTCTGTTGTCCTTTTGACATTACTTTTTTTAAAAAAAAAAATTAAATCTCTCCCTTGGGTAAAAAGTAGCTTATTGGCGTACCTTACAGGAGGGAGCAAAAAATCACAAGGAGGTAGAATAGAAACTGCACCTAGGCCTCAGAGGTAAACAGAACGTTTTACTGAAACCTTTGCTCACCCTAACCAGAGAGCAAAAAGTGCTAAGACAGCATACGGTACATCAGCTTGCAGTTTCCTTTCAACTTTGCTTGTAGAAAACTAAGACATTTATAACTTATAAATATGTCAGATATTGCAATTTGACATGCTAAGTAAATGGTAAATGATTATTTTTATGTTGTTAAGCAGTAAAAATAATTTAGGCTTGACAGAACACCAAGTATTACAGGTATTCCAATTTTCCTGGAAAAAACCTGAGGGGAAAATTTCCCCCTGTAGTTTCAAAATTTCCAGAAATTTTACATATGTTTTGAGCACTGTTACCCATTATGGCACCCACACCATGATCTAGGAAAGTGGACAAGGGTGTTGCCAGGTAGGGCTTGAGGCTGCTGGGTCATTTCCATCTTGAAAGAGCCACTGCTTGGAGGGACAGGAGTACAGGAAAACTATGAGCCTCTCTGAGCTGTGGATCTCTTGCCAAGGATGGAACATGGAAATGAAAGGCCCATCCTCTCTAAATAGCCCCACCCTTCTCTGCAGCCTCTGTGCTCTCATTCCAGCACCAGGTCAGCTGCCAGGAGGAGACTAAGTTGGCCACAGAGAAGAGAGAGCCAAATCATTACTACCACCAAAGCAGCCACATGGGAAAAGGACAAGCTGGCCACAGTGAGTTGTTGGTGCCTTTATTCCCTTTTCTGCATGACCAGCCTTGGCAATCCCACTCTCTTATCCAACCTGCTGTGTCTCATGCTGAGGAGAGAGCAAGAAGGCAGGTAAACAAGAGCTGGCTAAAATTAATCGCCACTGGAAAGAGACAACCCTACAGGCACACAAGCATTCTGATAATTAAAATGGTTTTAGTTCTATGTTTAATATTAATAGTTATATCATTGTACATGTATCTGAGGTGGTGCACAGAGCATACATTACTCATATGGCTCTTTTGGTTGATGGTAGTTGCAAATGTGGCTCTCTATGATTTTACATTGATGGCTCCATTTTACATTGATGTAAAACAGCTCTAGAAGGAGAAATTGCACCTTGCTGATGTGACCTTGGGTAAGTCACAAGCTCTGGCACAGCTGTCCTTGAAAAACAGCAGTTTCTGTCAGAGCTCTCTCAGCCCCACCCACCTCACAGGGTATCTGTTGTGGGGAGGGGAAGGGAAAGGAGTTTGTAAGCCGCTCTGAGACTCCAAGTGAAGGGCAGGGTATAAATCCAATCTCTTCTTCTTCTTCTTCCCAGAGATTAAGGGGTAGAGCCTGGTAGGGTTGCCGCTCCGGATTGGGAAATACCTAGAGATTTGGAGCCCGAGGAGGGTGAGGTTAGGGGCATAATGCCATAGAGTCTAACTTCCAAAGCAGCCATTTTCTCCAGGTGAACTGATAAGAACATAAGAACATAAGAGATGCCAATGTTGGATCAGGCCAAAGGCCCATCCAGTCCAACACTCTGTATCACACAGTGGCAAGAAATACCAGTGCCACCAGGAGGTCCACCAGTGGGGCCAGGACATTAGAAGCCATCCCACTGTTGACCCCCCCAAGCACTAAGATGACAGAGCATCACTTGCCTGGAGATCAGTTGTCATAGTGGGAGATCTCCAGCCACCACCTGGATGTTGACACCCCTAATTTATAGATAAAGGAAGACAAACCGTAGAGCCTGGGGAGGGACCTCAGCATCATATACTGTTATAAAGACTCATCTCAAAAGCAGCCATTTTCTCCAGAGGAACTCTTCTCTGTGGTCTGGAGATCAGTTTTAATTCTGGGAGATCTCCAGGCACCTCCTGGAGGTTAGCAACCCTAATTTATAGCTAAAGGAAGACAAACCATTAGAATATCTGCCTCCCAACCTCGGAATGGGAACAGGGACAAATATCTCCAGTCATTTTCTTCACAAATACCCCCTCTGTCACTTAAGTATTGAAGGAGGATTTTTTTTTACCTTCTTCCGTAGATTTCAGACTGTTACTGCTCACCAGTTTGTCCTGCTTAGGATTTTAAAAGTGAATCACTACCACCTTTCCAATCAGGCAGGCCTCTGTACTGCTATATGTATGTCCAGCTCGAAACTGCTTTTCCTAAAGTGGCCAACAGGAGTCCCATTTATTAAAAGTATTTTTACCCCATTCTTTGTCACAATAGAATGCCTAACAAGAAAACATCAGTTAAAAACCACATAAATGATACATAAACAAAACACAGAGCAACTAAAACAAACCAGCAAACAAGAAGTTAAGAGCAATCAGATTGAGAGAATCCATATAGTCACACACATAATCAGTGTTCCCTCTAAGCTAAGTTAGTGTGAGCTAGCTCGCAGTTTTTTAGCCCCCGGCTTACACATTTTTGTCTTAGCTCAGGAAGGATGGCTCCAGAGCAAACTAATTTATGCAGTAGCCAAATCACTCACTCACAACTTTAATGCCAGTAACTCACAGAGTAGAATTTTTGCTCATAAGACTCCACAGCTTAGAGCGAGCACTGCATACAGTTTCTTTTTCCCATAGTGGCTCAGCCTAGAAAGGCAAAAGGCCTTAGGTGTTATCGGTTATTCTGAGGCCTTCTGCCCCTGACCCTGGCTGATTAGCTATCATGGCTAATAGTCATTGATAGACCTATGCTTTGCTAATTTGTCTGAGCTTTTTATTAGAAAACAACAACCTGAAGTTATCAACCATCACTGAAGCTTATAGCTTATGCACCTATTATTTCTCAGTAGCAGAGCTGATTGCTCATTTGTATGTATATTCTACCCACATTTTCCCATTGACAACAGGGATATCAGGCTAGGAAAAAAATTGTGTGGTAATGATATATGCGAGGAGCTGCGGTGGCTGAAGTGGTTAAGATGCTGAACTGCAGGCTGTGGAAGGTTGGTAGTTCAGCAGTTCGAGACCCGAGTGTACCGCATGATGGAGTGAGCTCCCGTCTCTAGTTCCAGCTCCTGCCAACCTAGCAGTTCGAAAGCAAGAAATTGCAAGTAGATAAATAGGTACCCCTTCGGTGGGAAGGTAACAGCATTCCGTGCGCCTTGGTGTTTAGTCATGCCGGCCCCATGACCACGGAAACGTCTTCGGACAGCGCTGGCTCTTCGGCTTTGAAACGGAGATGAGCACCGCAACCCTAGAGTCGGACTCGACTGGCTTTCGAGCAAGGGAACCTTTACCTTTAATGATATATGAATCATAGCACTTTCAGAGGTGGTTTACCATTGCCTGCCTCTGCATAGGCACCCTGGTATTCTTTGGATGGTCTCCCATCCAAATACTAAAAAGAGCCCGCCTGGCTTAGCTTCCAAGATCTGACAAGATCAGACTAGCCTGGGCTATCCAGTTCATAGTGTTAGGCTTCCTTTCTTAAACACTTCATAACCACCAGAGTTATAGATGAGTTCCAATACAATAATTTCGTTGTTTTTGTTCAGTCGCACAGTCAAGTCCGACTCTTCGCGACTCCATGGACCACATCACGCCAGGCCTTCCGTCGTCCTCTGAAGTGTGCTCAATTTCATGTTCGTTGCATCAATGACACTGTCTAACCATCTCCTCCTTTGCCATCCCCGTCTTCTTTGACCTTCAATCTTTCCCAGCATCAGGGTCTTCTCCAGGGAGTGCTCCCTTCTCATTTGGTGGCCAATACAATAATTACCTGTGATCAAAAACACAGGGGCCACGGGGTTCTCTGCCTGACACTTCTACCAGAAGTGGGGCTGTCTGATGTCAATCTGGAAAAGTGTAAAGAACAACGTGGGAAACACAGAATATCCAGAGGGATACAAGACTTGCATCCAAACACCGATGTTACCTAACAGCCACAAGATGGAAGTATAGG